ATATATATATATATATATATATATATATAGTTGATTGTTGTGAGTTTGTGACCCTGGTTTGATCGCAAATAGCATGAAACCCAGGGTCACGAACTCACATCAATCCAACTAAATATGTTAGCTCTATCACTGATATTGAGCGCTTTCCAATAAGTACCGCGCATTATATAATATATAAATAATATATATATATATATATATATATATATGCACGCACACACATTTCATATATATATGCATACACACATACAAACATTTCATATATATATATATACACACACATTTCATATATATATATATATATATATATATATATATATATATATATATATATATATAAAACATTTCATATATATGTAAACAAATATATGGATATAGATCCGACAGTATAAAAAAAATATACAGAAAAAAAAAAAAAATCTTAATATGCAATTATGCTGTATTAATGTTAATATAGCATAATTGCATATTAATATTTTTGTTTGTTTTTTCCTGTATATTTTTTCATATATATATATATATATATATATATATATATATATATATATATATATATATATACACACACAAAACATTCCATATATATATATATATATATATATCAACACAAAGTGTTTGGGAAGGTACAAAACATTATTGTTGTTTTAAAAATGTACAATTTAAAGTATACCTAAGCATGTACAGAGAATGAGGCTGAGGAACAAGAATGAGAAAAATAATACTAATTGTAAAAAGTGTGGAATCGGAAAGATATTAAAAAATTCGCAACAAAGGGCGAACTGTTTCTCGATTCTCGTTCTTTTCTCATCCCTTATTCAGTTCTGCCATCTCACAATTGCTGTTCATGGTGACATTCAAGGAAAGCTTGTGCAATGGATTGTAGATTCCTTTTGCACCGGAGATGTCGAAGTTACTCCGTCCATTCTCTCAGAAATACAGAATTGTTTCGATTTTGAAAGGTCGTGTTGTTTAACAGTTTTATGTAGCGAAATAATTCCCCATTACTTAGCAAATCAATACTTTCATTTGTAACTATTTAATTATGTTATAACCCAGATTAATGTAACAATAAATTTAATTGATTCGTTTTCTACTGCTTATCAACCATTTGTAGGTTATTTAAAGCCAGAAAATTGTTTTACATTGTAAGTGTTTATTTTTTGATAATAATGGTTTAGTCATACAAGTAATACTAATTAACCCATAGATGGGCGAGATTAGGCGGATTCATACTTTTTCCGAGGAAGAGAAATTGAAATAATTTCGAGCCATTATGCATTACAAGACCTGCACATACAAGTTTACCGGACCTAGTATTTCCAAGATGTCACCCATCTAAGTACTAACGAAGTGATCTTATAGGAATTGGTGTTTCAACGTAATGCGGCCGTAAGCCTGAGATACACTTGATAATTTTTGTTTTAAGTGGGCGTGGTAAAGTAAAAGCAAAGAACATCACGCAAAAAAAAAAAAAAAAAATTAAATGCGTTTTTCACGAAGATGTCATTTCAGGTGCGTGTATTCAATTTATTATGACGATATAAAGGCATATTCAATCATTTCATGTTTTCTAAATATTAATCAAAATCCAGCTATTTGTTTCCTTTCATATTAACGTGTTACCCCGAGATAATTTCGGTTTTGATATTTCAGACTATACGCGCTTAACGTTTTCATAACTTATTTTCCATTACTGAACACAAAAGCTTTTGTAGCAGGCGTTTAAATTTATTGGAGAACTGAATATATTCGTCGTCATCATAAATTTGACAGCCACATTATTTCTGTGCGTTTTCAAATAATGTCACCACTTGGCAATTTAATTTAAACATGGGATTTCTGAAAGCACGCTTCATTCAGTGCTATTTTTCCTTAAGGAATTTCAGCTCTTAAGGTATATGATTGTACAAAGAAACCTTATAGGCATGAAAATAATTATGAAGTACCAAATGCATCAGTCTTAATTAAAGATTAAGAATGCAAAATACATTAACTGCAATTCTCATATTGTGGTTTAAAAACTACGCTAATAACAATGTCTGTTTTATTTACCGGTTACTGAGACTATTGCATTATTATGTAAGTCAATGATCTCAAATATTTTACTAATTTTTCAACATAAATAAATTAAACCACACAATCCAAAAAGGCTTTTAGGTCTTTATTTTTTTTAAGTTAAGAAAAATTATTGTCCCGCGAAACATATTTTGACCTCGTCACATTGTAAGCCTAAATGACAAAATAGTTACAATTTGAAAGATAAAAAAAAGATCAGAGAATGATTGCATTTAAACGTGAGTGTGTTAATAGTTTAAGCAAGCAAGATGGAGGGAATAACTGAAAACTCCATTTGTGGGTGGCGTCGATACTGAACAGTTATTGGCTGAACACCTTCATAAAGCAAAGAAATTGAGAACAACTAAAAAGATATAAATAAGTCTCATCATATGTAAAGATAATAGATATCATTTCTACACTTATAAATATCGAATGAAGGTTTAATCGATATTTCATTGACAGAAGAAGCCACGTCATGGCAGAAGGAAAATGAAATTGAGATGAATTCCAGCATTTGGCTGACATTGCTTTCTGAGGCAGACTGGTTGCCAACCAAAGCCGTATCACCCAATCCGTCTTGCTATTTAACCTGTAACTGAGGATAGAAGAGATGGCTTCATAACATTTCCAATGGTATTGAGCATAAGTGAATGGAACTAACGCGACTGGATTTCTTATTCCGAGCCGTTATCACACCACCCGCATATCGAAGCATTTGGCATTCCCAAATGGCAGTCCATTTGGATACTGGCCAGGATCAACTTTGCTTAACATTGATGATCAGACATGAACCAATGTTTCAACATGATATGTCCGCAAATAGATAAAATTATTTTAAAAGCTAGCTACCCAACAAACTGTAGTGCTTATCCTGAATAACGTCAGTTACACGAGATGATATGGGGTATACGAGATACTTGTGTAACAACGTTATTATATCAATACTAGCACGTTCTCATCAATTTCTTTTTTGGTGGAGATTATAGTTCAAGAGAAGATACTGGGGCCTGCAAAATATATTATTAAAGCTTGGGGGCGTTTAAATCCGGTGAGCAATTGTTTATTAAACATTTGCTAATTGTTTCTAGAATCACATTTATGTAATCAGCAGACAATAGAGTGAATATATATGATACGATAATCACATGCAACAGGAGAACATGGCGAGCATTATGGTTAGAAATGGCTCACGGCAAGACTGGCGTATCGCACACATGCCAAGACAGATTTCAGTTTTACTTATTTCAATTTGTTATTACGCGGCCTGTTTCTACTGAATTTCTGCACTAACCTACTCAGGGATTGAACTGAAAATTAATGACACCAAATTCACAAACCAGCGCTTTAATCCACAAGGCTGTTGTCAATAATAAAGAGCAAAACGAGATATCTCTAGATGTTTACAGGGGAATGAGATCGATCTACCCCATAGATTAAATAAAGGGCTCCGTCGAAGTTTACCCGGATATACAAACCCATGACGAAAGACGGCGAGCACAATTTTCGAAAGGTTGTGATAACAACGAAGTTGAGGACAACAGTCCGAGTTTAGGTAATGTAAATAATAACTCCTCACTACCAGAAAATACATACAGACAAATCAATTGTACATTTCTACACGTGTAAGGAGCGCAAATCCATTAATGGTACTTTTGTTTAAATCTTGAGTACTTCAGTTTATATATTCATTTTTATGATTTTAAATCTCCAAGAGGTCCATTATTTATACGACGGGAAATAATTTCGTAAATAAATGATAATATGAATATATTCTGGAAACAATATCAATGTGTCAAACTTTAACAGAAATTGTTGCCTTTCACACATTCAGTTATACACTGTCCATTCAAGATGTGAATGATCATCGGTCTCCACAGTTTTACGTGACGTTTGACTCGTTATGATTCCTCTTGGTTCTCGCTTTACAACCCAATTGCAAAAAACGAGTTAGATGAATTACTGTTTGCTTCTACTTAACCTTTCTTGAATATGTCCTGCGCGTGTTAAATTTTCCAACCCTTCATAACGCGTCACTGAAATTTCATCTTATTGTTTTTTTTTTGTTTTTTTTTCAAGTATAATTGTCTAATCTCCACTGTATACTCTGCTAGTAATCATCTCTCTATAGACGTTTATATGAAAAACATTAAAAAAAAATACTTCGTCATAAAATGATTCCTAAGAACTTCCAGCCTCTGTTCTCTATTTATATCAATCCGACATGAGTCATTTCATTTGAGCCCACTACAGGGGAATATAAAGGAAACATCCGTTAATAGGATTTACGACCAACAATTACTCAAGTGCAACTACGTGAAACATAGTAAATACTGTTTTTCTGGCATGCCAATCAAAAATCAATGATGTTGTTTAAATTTAAATTGATTCTACAGAGGGCCGACACTATTTTTGGGACACTTTGAAAAGTGTGTTTAAAGGTGTTTTTTGCTGCCGAGATCTTTTGTGTTGATGAATAGGTAGTTCAGCAGTAACTGTCCATTAATGGTATGAACATTGATTGATGGGTTTGTCTTTGGTTTCATGTTTTCTTTATTTTTACTTCAACTTAGGCGAACACTGTTTTTCGGACATGACACAAATTCCGTTTTTTTTTTAATGATTTAGTCGTCGAACGTCTACAATATGCAAATTTTCTGCAGGTAAATTGTACCCTGACCATTACATTTGAGTATCTTTACCATTCACTGCGAAAACGTATTAAAATCCTGAAGAAGAATGCATTCAAAAGAAGTCATCAGTTTGGTCCAAAAGAAGAGAGATTTTCTCAGGCTCAGGTTCCGGAAGATCGCCGCTGAGATGAAGCTACCGAAGTAAACAGTTGAATAAATGCTAAGTACAGACTATGAGCGGAAGAAGAAGAAGAGAGGACGGAAAAAAATAATTTCCAAGAGAACAGAAAGAAGAATGAAGAGGAGTGTTACGAGGTTGTTATCATCTGGAGAAAAGGTGACAGCGAAGAAAGTAAAGGAGAAGTGTGAACTTGACGTCAGTGTTCGAACTGTACAAAGAAAGCTACACGAAATTGGACTTAAGTATGCTAAAATCAAGAAAATATTTACACTAACGAGAAAACACAAGGAGACAAGGCTGGGAAGCGCCAAAAGATGGATAACAAACTATGTCGACTTCAAGAAAATGATATTTACTGATGAAAAACGTTTTTGGTTCGATGGCCCTGACGGGTGTTGTACATGGTCAAGAAAAGGTGAACCTGTTATTCTCAACAAGGGACAGATGGGAGGAGGAGGAGTCATGGTTTGGGGCATGGTATTTCTGAATGGGAACTTGTGGCTCGAGTGGTTAAAAGGACGTCAAAATAGCTTGAGCTACAGAGAACTTTTGGAAAAGAGAGCCCTACCATTCATAGAAAAATAAATGAGAAGTAATTTTATTTTGCAGCAAGATAACTGCAGCATCCATGTGGCCAAATCAGTGAAAAATTGGATGTGTGAAGCAAATATAACTAATCTGGAATAGCTTGCAAGAAGTCTTGACTTAAATTTAATTGAAAACATATGGAAAATGCTTGCAGAGATTGTTTACGACGTGCCAGAAATAACCAGAGAGGCTAAACTGTGGCAGCGCATACAAGATAAAGATAGACTGCTAGAAACACGAAGAGACGTTATTATCAATATTTACGAACATTATGAAGATTGACTGATAGAAGTCATTGAAAAAAAGGGTGCTGCCATAAACTATTAGCATTGTTTCTGCAATGTCCGAAAAATACTGTCGCCTGTGTAATCCGAAAATTTGTAAAAAAAAATAAAAATACATCTAATTTGAATTCTGCTTTTCCATTTGTAGTATTGAAAGAGTTTTTAAATGCTATTGCCATTACACTAAAACAGTACAGACTGCCTGTGCTACCTAAAACTTGAAAAAATAAAGTGTCGGAAACATAGTGGTGGTCCCCTGTAAGCTGTATTTTATATTTTTAGACTGGAAATATTACGAACGCTAAAATTTACATAAATCGGGTTTTTATACTCATCAGTTGTACGCTCCGGCATATATCAGGGGATATGTGTTGGAATTTGCAACCATTTATTTAAGGTACGGGGATATATTGTTCTAATTCCACGTGTCATGCTTTTTTTTATGTTTCAGTTAACTCTCTATGTGTTTGTACCCTCTTAAGTATTGAACTCACAACTCTTTAGGTCAAGTTACTTTTTTTGGATTATTCAACCAATGCATTTGTCTACTGGACCGTGTATCCTAGAATAAATTTTTGGGACTTATAAACCTAATGTCTCAGCAATCATTTTTAGCGGTTCTCATATTAAAATTGTTTTTGCTATTTTTATTTTTCTAGCTCTCTTTATTACTGGTTGAGTTACTAAAGAGAATTAAAAGGAATTAACTGAAACTAAGATATGCTCTCTCCCCCACCAAAAGCATGGCAGGTAAAATTAAAACAATCTACCACGTGGACTAAAAGGGTGTGATTCGAAATTCTATCATATATCACCTGAATAAGGCTGGGTGTACAACGACCGAAACGTCGTGAATATTACAGTAAAGATGGGGACAACAGTCCGAAAGATGTGAATAATGTAAATAGTTACGCTACCTCATCTAAGAAATATAGACAAATGTTAAAATGAACTGTTTTTATTTACTAAGTTTACTTTGGAACACGGTCAGAAGTTTTTTTTGGTTTCATCAAAAATGTATTGCTTGTAATATTTGTTTTAAAAAAAAACGTATTGTTGGTTTGGTTTCTTTTTTGTTATACGTCATATCAACTTCATTAGGTTATTTAACGCCGACAAAAATTTTTATTGCTGGTAATATTTTTTTTTTTTCAAAAATCTATTTCTGGGAATATTGTTCCTTCAAGAAATCTATAGTTGGTAATTTTTTTTTATGTATTGCCGATAATAATTTTTCCTTCAAAAATTATTCTTGGAAATTTTTTTTTTTTTTACAAAGTGTTTCTGGTATTAAAACCTATTTTTACACAAGTTTGGGTGTTAACTATTTGCCCATAGCTGGGACCCTAACAGGTGCTACCAACCTGGGTAGACACCAGCAATTAAGAGGTAGTTCCATGCTCCTCAAAACCTCTTGATCAGAGGCCTTGCTTGTTGGATGTAGTTTATCGTCATACCAGGACGAAGGGTCACAAGTATGGTGAGCCCAGAGAGGAAAAGATTTAACGCAGTTCATGGTATATCTTCAACCATTGCCGGTGATCAGTGATCGAACATAAGTAAAGGAATGAATTCGAACACTGATTGTCAAGAGAAGCAGGAGTTCCTGGTTTGTATAAGTGGTACTTAAAATTCTACTCGTCCGTATTTTCTTATAGCATTAGAAGGCTTATATTTAACGTCAGGTAAAGGCAGTTAAGTTTCTGGGACACATAATGAGGAAGGAGGGCCTGGGAAATCTGATACTCACGGGTTAAATAGAGGGAAAGAGAAACAAGGGAAAACAACTCATGACATACCTAGCGGCCTTAAGCAAGTCGATGACAGAACGTGCTCTGGGGGAGGTGGCAGAGGGAATGAACTTGTTGCGAGCTGACAGGGATAGAAGGGAGTGGAGAGCTATGATCAGCTACTTCCTGAAAGGACATGACTCATAAAAAGCAAGAAGTTAAAGCACTATACTTTGAGCACAATATTAATATAATCTGACATTATTTCAAATGATTTATCAATATTAAATGCTTTGTTAAAACTCTACAAACGAACTTCTTGATATTTACATAAGATAAATTTATCAGGTATATTTTGCAAAAGATTCCTGTTCTATTAAATTAAATACTTTTGTCAATTTCTAAAAATTAAAGATTTCTTTCTTATTATTACTAGTAGTAGCATTATTATTATAGTAGTAGTAGCAGCATTAGTAGTAGCATTATTATTACTAGTAGTAGTAGTAGCATTACTATTATTATTATTAGTAGTAATATCATTACTATTATTATTAGTAGTAGCATTACTATTATTAGTAGTAGTACCATTACTATTATTATTATTATTAGTAGTAGTAGTAGCAGCATGATCATTATTAGTAATATTATTATTAGCAGTAAATAGCAGTAATAGCATTATTATTATTATTATTATTATTAGTAGTAGTAGTAGTAGTAGTAGTAGTAGTAGTATGATCATTGTAACAGAAATTATCGTAAACTACTGGTGACATTCATCGGTAACTACTAATCCATCAGAACTAGATAAGCATCAACGCACGCCTATCATTAAACAGCTGGAAAATGCGAGACAAAGCGACCAGAAAAAGAATGTTGCTTATCATCACAATTGTGACTTTTTGCTTCATGTTCAGTGTCAGTGAAGGCTTGCTTTTTTTTATACAGTAATGTTTCCTGCTGTGGTTAAATTATTTTTATAAAGGTTTGTACTGTAACTGCTAGCTTTAATTATTACCTACTTAAATATACGATCACACTTTTTTCCTGAATATTTCATTTTGAAAGTGGGAGTATTATACCGCTGCGTGTTTTATGCCCTCAAATAAGGTACTATAAAATTATAGAATTTCATCGTATTCACTAATATCCTTGTTTTGATAACACAATAAATTTATAGTTTATCAATATGCGATAATCACTGATATAGATATCATATAACCTTATACTTCGATAGGGACGTTAACCAACGCAAAAGATTATATAAGAAAATGTAATTGATGGTGAATAAATAAATTATATTTACGTGTATATCGACAATGCTTATATTTTCGATTTTTAACTTATGCAATATTATGTATATATGCACAAATAAGATGAATTTTCTTCCTTTTTTTTTTTTTTTAAATATGTATAATATATAAATGTTTTACTCTGCTGTTTCTAAGGTTACCGTCCGTTTAAAATCTCATTATTTCTCAAAAGCATCGAGCAAGTTTTTTTTTTTTCAAAGTCATCATGCAATTTAAGTGGATCGTTCTTCAGAATATTATCTAGAATTAATACAGTCCATCGTTATCTGAGGAAAAAACAAAAAAGCATAAATTTTTGTTCAAACCTACCAAACCCAAAAACATAAATTCTTGACAGTCGGTCAAGAACCCCCCACAAAAAAAAAAAAGACAAACCAGAAACTGAAAATTCAAATGATTTTGATGCAAATAATGTGTCAGGTACTGGCTATAACCTCCCCAATCGTCCTCCGTCCAATATATATATATATATATAAATATGAAGAAATATAGTCTTAAGATGTGCTATATTTATGGGATAAAGTTCTCAATATCAGAGTTGAGCTTGTGTAAATATAAAATGAACATAGAAGTCAACACTTAGAGGCAACAGGCTGTTTCTTGCTAGATACAATAGTTAGGCCATATATATATATATATATATATATATATATATGCCTGCGCTAAGTGAGGGGGTACACTCGGCAAGTGATGCCTCACGTTTATTCCCATGGAAACTGCAACAGATATAAAGAGCAATAACATAGTTGGAGATGTAAGTTTTCAGCTACAAATGACCATTATTCTACAAGGTCAACAGCAGTGGGTATGCAATGTTGTCAACGTCGAACATGTGCTTGCATGCCGCGATAGGGAAAATATGGGGAGGCGACAAACTCATTGCTGTTGCCACACATTTAAGCACAGCCAAACTGTGTTTGCATCCACTATTTGATCTCCGTACATGTGTCGATGCCGAATAAATGCATTTTTCCCTAATGTGTAATACAATTATACATCTCAGGATCGTTCATACTCTGCTAATTAAAAAAAAAGACTATAATATTACCATCCAGAGCGTATATATATATATATATATATATATATATATATATATATATATATATATATAGAGTGTGTGTGTATGTATTCATCCACAGACTGACTGTTTCAAAACTCTTTAGTGTAACTAGACATCCGATTGCCTCAAGCTGAGATCGAAAACCGACGACTGATTTGATATCAGTCGGAGACTCTGCCCCTAAGCCATTGGCGAACGCTAGGGATAAAAGTGAATTTAGACGTATTTATTTTTAGATAAACACGCCAAGCAAGTTTTTATTAGATTTCATAGAAAAGATTTGTCTATTCTAATTTTAATTATCCCTTTCTAATTTTTGACTCTAGTTATCGGGATTAAAGTTATGAATAAATTGGGTAAATTTCTTGTTTTTTTTCTTCTTATATTAAAGTCATTTCGCCTATCAAAATCATTGTCAAGAACTATGGTAAACAAGATTTCTTTGACTAAATTATGGCGTTTTTAAACTGCAGACCCTAGAGGGTCAGTTAAATTTCACATCCT